GTTGGGGGGGCCTGCCCACATCCTATGAGCGGAGGAGAGCTGCGGTTGCCTGGGAATGAGGGATACGGTATTGTGCTTATTCCTATCTGCCTAGATTAAAGGAGCATTTAACCCTTGCATAGTAAGAAGCGCTGCTAGTTTAACTTTTATGCTGACCTAGAGTTCTGCTGTAACTCTTTTCTGGTCTTCACTGGTCAATCTTCGGTCCAACCAAAAGGCACATCTCCCAAGTGGTTCCTGTTATGTCTTTAGAGCATCGGTATGCTTCTGCTGCAATTGTCCCCGGCTTTGCTGATTCCCACCTTTTAGAGCCTAAAGCCTTCCACTTGACGGGTTTACCCATTCGACACTCCCCTGGTGCCTAACCTGTGGCCCTTTTGGTACAGCCCTCTAACCCAGCAACCAGTAGTAGGAGCATTGCATTATAAAGGATCGCTTATAGCAGTGGACTCTAGGAGTCTCATGTAACTATCCATAATAGTCTCCTGAAGAAAATCTCAAACCTTCAAATGCACATGCAGCATGTCCCCAGTGTCTGCCTATTCGTTAAAAAGTAAACAGTCTGTGATAATCCTTTGTAGATAGAGAGTGGCTTCCTAGGGATTTTGGTTACGGAAGTTGCAGCCTACTAGGTCTAATAAGCTGGCAAACACTGCTTTACCCTTTCCAAATCTAAAAAAGTAAATCAAAATTTGACTCTTAGATATACTTTTATATTCCAAAAGCAAGTGTGAGGCAGGCAGGTTTGGTAGGTGGTTTAACCGTGTCTTAGGTGGAGTGACTTTTTAACAAGATGATAGATGGAAGAATGTAAAGGTCAGATGGCTGATATCTTTGAATGTGCTTGAAGCTAAATACTAACCTTTTCCATATTTCTTCCACAGATGTAACAAAATCCAAGCCTATGCAGATTTGGGAAGTTCAATACAATTCATCCTGGATGATCTGTGGATTATAAACTCTTCATCAGTCATTTTATCTGTTCAGACTCTTAGTAAAGCAGTAGTAAACCAGCAGCATGGCTAGTAAAAGAAAGTCTACAACACCATGCATGGTGCGGGCCTCTGAGCTCGTGGACCAAGACGATCAAGATATGGACATTGAGAGTAATGCTAATGAGCCCAGTCCTGAAACCAAGAAGGACAGGGTCGGGGACAAAGAAAAGACAGCGGAGAGCAACGAAGTGGTGGAAAATAAGCCTCCTGAAAATCAATCCAGGAGGCTTCAGGGTGGTTACGAGTGCAAGTATTGTCCATACGTAACGCAGAACCTTAATGAATTTACTGAACATGTAGACATGCAACACCCGAATGTCATTCTGAATCCTCTTTATGTTTGTGCTGAATGTAACTTCACAACAAAAAAATACGATTCTCTGTCCGACCACAATTCAAAGAATCACCCCGGAGAGAGCAACTTCAAACTAAAGCTCATGAAGCGCAATAATCAGACTATCTTGGAACAATCCATTGAGGGTGGCGGTGACCTTTCTAGCACCCATGACAACACCGAGACTGATGATAATGGGTCAGGCATATCGATGCCTAAAATGCCCATTATGAAGCTAAGAAGAAGCCGATCGGATGGGAAAAGGACAGCGCGGAGGAACGAGGAATCTTTGCTTGACTATCACTTTGGCATCGGCACATGTATCCCGGAAACCAACGGCATTTCTGGGAATGGTCTAACTCATGTCATGCCATCTGTTCAACTTCCACCCAACATCCATCTTCTTCCAAAAGTTGCAGTACCCCTGAACAGCAACAAATATAACTCGGCTCTTGACACTAACGTAACCCTGATCAGTTCATTTAACAAATTTCCTTACCCAACACAGGCGGAGCTGTCGTGGTTGACCGCGGCTTCAAAACATCCCGAAGAGCAAATCAGAATCTGGTTTGCTACTCAGAGATTAAAGCATGGTATAAGCTGGTCCCCGGAAGAGGTAGAGGAGGCCAGAAAAAAAATGTTCAACGGGACTATACAATCTGTTCCCCAGACCTTCACAGTATTACCGGGCCCAATAACTACTACGGCTAAAATTGCACAGCCTATTATCCAGACTGCGTTACCATGTCAATTCATCGGTCAGCCCGGTCTAGTCTTAACCCAGGTAACGAATGCTCCTGCGGTCACAGTTTCTTCAGTCCCTGTTAGTATTGGCACTACTCCAAGTCAAGTCCAGAAACGCACCATGCCGAGCCCCCAAGAGGCTCCCGAGCCAAAGCGTCAGAGTACAGGACAGGTTCCCTCGCCATCGACACCCAGATTGCACTCTGTATCCTCTCGTCATGAGCGCAAAAAGACCAGCGAACAAATAGCGCTTTTGAAAGCTAGTTTTGTCACGAGCCAGTTCCCCGATGACGCCGAAGTTTACAGGTTAATAGATGCCACTGGCTTGGCCAGAAGCGAAATTAAGAAATGGTTCAGCGATCATAGGTATAGGAGCCAGAGAGGTCTTGTTAATATCACCAGTGAAACCTTAATCAAAGACCAGCTGTCTGGCCGGACTCGACGCCCTTACCATTACAGGGATATGGGCCGAAAGACTGCACTGACCACGGACGAACAACTTCAGTGTCTCGAGAACAGTTTTGTGAAAAGCCCATATCCCACACAAGCAGAAATCGATCGTTTACGATCCGAGACGAAACTGTCAAGAAGAGACCTAGATTTATGGTTTTCCGATAGACGGAAGATGAGAGATTCCGTGGAGCAAGAAGTTTTAGACAGCATGGGCTCTGAAAACGAAGGCTTCATGAATGGCGCCATGACCTATTTTGGAGGCTCTTCCCCGCAGTGCAAATCAAAACCGGAGCAGCTTCACCTGTTAAAAAGTACCTTCGCCAGAACCCAGTGGCCATCCCCACAGGAGTATGACCAACTGGCGGCACAGACTGGGCTTGTCAGGACAGAAATTGTAAAATGGTTCAAGGACAACCGCTGTGTCCTCCGAACCGGCAGTTTAAGATGGATGGAGCAGTACCGCAAGAATTACGAACGCTCTCTAGAAGAGCGGAAGAGGTTCATCAAAATGGTGTCGGCCACCAAGGCAGGCAAAGAAATTCTAGTGGAGTATTTCCAGGAATATGGCCAGCTGCACGAAGAGGACCTTGAGCTTCTTGTGCTCAAGACTAAAATGAATTCCGATCAAGTGAAGGCTTGTTTGGGGGAGATTCAGGATCAGCTGGACAATGATCAAGATGATAAATACGACACGGAGAGTGAACCCAAGGACTGGAACAGGTCATTACAGGATGATGAGGACATCATATCAGATGGTGGGGATAGCTGGAGCCATACTGGACAGGATACTCTAGATGATACGGCAGACTATGAGTATGAAAATACTCCCAACGAGGATTGTAATCAGGTAATTAACCCCTTCATGACTGAGGCCTTTTATTTATTTATTTTTTCATTTTTTGCACCCATGTTATATTCCACATTTTAGGTCTGAAAATTACTTAAAACCCCCCAACATTATATATTTTCTGAAAGCCAAGACCCTATAGAATAAAATGTTGGCAGTTGCAGATTTTTATGTTGCACGATATTAGCGCAACTCCTTATCAAACCCCAACATTTAGTAAAACATTTACTTAAATGCCCCAAAACACAACACACTAAAATTATCATTTGTTTTTAATAAAATATAAAAGAGGAGGATACAACGAGTACATAGACACCAAACATGCCCAGGTTGAAAATTGTGTGCGTCTGTGAAACAGCGACAAACTTCAGTACCCCAAAAAGTCCATAGATGACGCTTTGAAATCCCCCACAGGTCATCAGTTTAGAGATTGCCAAAAATACTGGCCCTAGAATTATTGCTCTCACTCCGGCGTGCGTGGCGATACCCAACATGTGTATCGCGTTCGTGGTTTTCATACGTAGGCGCACCCGACGCGTGTTTACGTGGCGACGCGCGTTCTCGCGGCGAACTTTTAAACATTTTTTTAAATTATTTTTAGATTTATTAAATTTTTAAAACTTTTAGTTTTTTTGTTTTTTTTACTTTGATTGCTATCACATAGGGGGGCTTACAAGGGACTTACCTTTTAAATGATGTCTATTAATCCGATCTTCTTTCCTGTCCTTTTCATCTGTCCCTCCAGCGCTGGTGTGGGTCTCCGATCCAGCGCTGACTCCTCCTCTTCTCTCATGCCCCACGGTGTCTGCATGCGGGTGCACGCTGCTCCATAGACTTACCTTGTGTCTCTCCTCGTCTCCCGGCCGAACATCTGAAGTGCACATGCGCCCACCACAAGATCCCTTGCGGCTGCCCGAGACTCTTCAGATGTTCGGACGGGAGCGCGCGGCGGAGACACAGGTAAGCTTCAACCCTTTTTAAAAAGTTTTTTTTTTAAATGTTTTTGCATATATCTGCTGCTTTCTAGCCATGGATCTATGCAAAAACACGTTTAATAACCCTTTAATGCAAGATATGCAATCTTTTGAAGGAAGACAAAAAAAGGAGCGCTACAACCCTGGGATTTTTAGTGTTAAACAATTAGTAATCTTTGAATAGATATAGAGTCCCTCTCCCTGGTTAAGCAGCTCGCTCACCCAAACTTGTCTATTATAAATTTCCCATCTGTTGTGCGCTCGCCATTCCTACCGTTTTTTAATCTTTTGAAAGCAGTGACTGTGTGCGTTTGCTCCTTGTGAATATTGGTACCAGCAAAGCATTTCTGCTTTATAATTTTACAAAGACGGGAACAGTCTATTATTATGCATTGAAAAGACCTTTCATTTTCTGTTTAGATAATGTAGGAAACTGAAATCTCTCCCCATACATTGTTGCCATATCAACTGAAGTTGAAATCAGGCTTGCACCGTGAGCATCTGGTCTGTAGTCTGAAGAGCAATGTATTAGAGGCTGAATGGTTGTTACAGTGAGCGGACGGATGGTGCTGCCGCAGAACCAGCACACCTAGAGTCACCACCCGTCTAGGTTTTTCTACCAAGTCACCATGACGATCTATTCATTTCAGGGATATCAAGGCAGTTGTGCCGGTAACATGTAGATTTTGTTGCATTACGATCTGGAATTAAAATGGATCTTGAGGGGTTTCTACTTCTCCACAACTTTGTCCCTGACCTATTTGGAGAGCTCCCTGGTCTTCATGATGGATGCCGCTTGCTTGCTGGCACCCCTTGCTTAAAGGAGAATTATGAGGCGAGTGATTTTCACTTAGCCTCATAGTTCTAGCCGACGTGTGACAATGAGACTGTCACATGTCGGCTCAATAGATCGGGAGGTGAGCGAACACATACCATCGCTCGCTCACTTCTCGATCTATCCCTGCAGAGAGAGGTGACTGTCACTCACGGCTCCCTGCAGGGATTCCTCCCCTCCCCTGTCCAATCCTCCAGCGCTGACTGGGGGAACGGGCGGGCACAGCTGGCTCTGCCTCTGGATAGGCAGAGCCAGCTGTCAATCACGCAGCTGGGTGGATCCAGACAGTATTGTCGGGATCCGTCCCGGCTGCGGCGTCTCAGTATACTGTATACGGTATACTGAGCTTAGGGTGACCGGAGGACGCTAGTTTGTGTTCTCCCGTGACCCTTAGGAGAACTATGGGGAAAAGCCCTGACCCCATAGTTCTCCTTTAATGGTGTGACTTATATATTGGCTGTTCAGGAAACGAAGCTTCTCGTCAGCCAAGGGCTTCCATCCTGGATTTTACAGGGAACTGGAATAAGATTTTGCCTGCAGCACCACCTACTGCTAGGATCTGGTATGGCAGCCGGAACATAGACTAGGATCATTTTATCTTACTAGCTGGATGTAAAGCAGCTTTTCTTAACCAGAGTGCCTTGACATTTTCACACAGCCTCATGCTTCTGATGTGTAAAAGAGGGGGGGCACCTAATGTAAAGGGGAGGACTTTGATGTGAAGAGGGGAACACCACATTTTTTTCTGCTTTTGCGTGAAGTCCCCCTTAAAATTCATACCAGACCCCTATCTATCTGGGAAAATGGTCTGGTATGGATTTTGGAGGGTCCACACAATGTTTTTTTTACATTTTAGACTGGGGTGACTTGAGATTTTACATATTTTTAAATGGTGCTCTGGCTGGAAAAGAGTTGAGAAATGCGGACTTAAAAGTATACATGAAGCCATGATTTCCAGCTGTCTCAGATACCTGGTCACCTGCGGCTCCCCTCACTACTGCAGCAAAAAGTTTCCCAGCACACTCACCAGCCAGCATGAAAAAAACAAACTTGTCTCACCGCTAAGGTTAAAAACAGAGGTTTAGATACACGTCTTCTGCAGAATATGTGGAAGCCGCACTGACTCTTCATTCCCATCTGTGTAGTGCGGTCCTAATTCTAACCTGTGAGTCGCCATCTTGGAGCACATGTAGCAAAAGATAAATTGGGTGCAGGTTCGCCAGGAGGCAGCCCAACCTCCTTAAAGGCACAGGGACACACAAGGGACCCCACACATCACAACGGCAGCTGAGACGACCCCAGCGTGTCACTGCACCAAATCCGACGATCACTACAAATGGCAAACACTCGCTCATTTGCTTGTCCCCTCACTACTGGACATAGGGGCCGGCTGGAAACCACAGTGTGCAGCAGGGTACCAGATATTTGATAAGTCCACAGGTATCAGACACCTACCTGCAGCTGCCAGAGATCTGCAACATGGTAGAGTTTTAAGACCCGGACACCCGGAAAGCTGAGGATAGATCATCTTCTTTTACAGAGCGGCTCTGCTTTACTGTGCAGCACAGTGTCAGGGCTGCTTTGATTGGGAGGTTCTATAAGATGACTATTCTAGAGAGCAGAAAAAAGAGGACCAGTTCCAGAGGTACAATAATACTTCATGAGATAAAATGGCAATCCCTGAGCCTTGTTGTGTCTAACCGTTGGTGCACGGTCCCTTATGGAATACTTTGCAAAAACTGAAATAAAATATGAAGCACGGCTGAGGCCAGGTTCACACTTACACGATCCGGGCGCGCGCCAATGGTCCACGAAAACGCACGGATTTCTGTGCGGTCACGGAGTCGCTGGTTGTACTATTCTTTTCTAATGGCACCCCAGTCGCGCCGGGCGGATCGCGCAGTTTCCCACCGCGAGTCCGCCCGTGCAATCGAACACGATCGCGTCTAAAAAAAGTTGTGTCTCACCAAAAAGGTGCAGCGATTGCCACACGGATGTAACTCCATTGAAATCAATGGGGCGGCACGGCAACCATTGTGCACATGATTGCGCGGTCCCGAGACTATAAGGCCTTGTTCACGCCAAGCGCGTTCCAAGAGCAGTTACAGACCGGATCAAAACTGCGTCCAATGTATTCCAATGGTATTTTGGGCTCTAGTTCACATCGCAGCGTTAATTTCCAGAGCATGTAAAAAAACTGCAGCAAGCCCTATTTTACCTGCTCTGGAACGCATGCAAACGCATCAATGCATGCAAAGGCACTGAAAGTCCATGTTAAACTTTTTTTAAATGTTTTTATTTTTTAAGTGGCCCTGAACGTGGCAAAACACACTGCACTGCGTGTGCATAAACTCATGCAAATCTGGTCTGCATTTGGTGTGAACTGCGTTTTTGCTGCGTTTTTGATGCGTTCAGGGACGTTTTTTGGTAAAACAAATAAGTTTAAAATGGGCTCACTGCGTTTGCATGCGTTATTGATGTGTTCCAGAGCAGGTAAAATAGGACTCGCTGCAGTTTTTTGTACATGCTCTGGAACTGAACGCTGCGGTGTGAACTATAGCCCAAAATACCATTGGAATACATTGGACGCAGTTGTGATCCGGTCTGTAACTGCTCTGCTCTGCTCCTGGAACGCGCTTGGTGTGAACAAGCCCTTATAGGTTTGAGCAGGGGTAGCAAACCTCCGGCCCTTCAGCTGTGGTGGAACTACAAATCCCATGAGGCATTGCAAGATTCTCACAGCCACAGACATGACTTTCGAAGAGAGATGCATCATGGGACTTGTAGTTTCACCCCAGCTGGAGTGCCGGAGGTTTGCTACCCCTGGGTCAGAGAATGGCCCCTGCGGAGTAACGCAAGCAGTAGGATTGAAGTTCCATCACTAAGAGCCGATGATGTTTTTACAGCGCGGTTTTTTCTTCTGTTTTGCTTTTGCAGCACTTTAATCTTCTTCTTTTCCCCCCCTCCCAGGTGTAAGGACCGGAGGAGAAGCATCAATACCTGATAATAGCAGAGATTTATTTTCCTACTGTCAATAAGAGAACATGCTGATTTGTTTTCGATCGGCCCCTGTCCATGCACTCGTCTTGGTTTATAAAACTGAAAAGTTCTTTTTTGCCAAAGAACTAAAACCCTCTGAGACTTTGTACAATCCCCTCCCCCTTCTTTACTGGAACCGCTTCTGAGTGTGGGATGAATTGGATACCCTATTTTTTCTTTTTCTTTTTCATTAAAATTTGCATTGTTTAGAATTAGTAACCACTAAGTTGTCTAATTTGTGTTCCTCTGTTGTGTATATAGAACATATATATTTAAGTGCTTGTGGAAGAGCCATGGAATTCCGGGACCACTGCCTTACGTGGGAGTGCCGAGCTGGGTGGGTCTGGGGACCCCTTCAGATTGGGGGAGGGGCAGCTCAAGGAGATCACCCGATATCCTAATATCCTTTATTTTTGTTTTCCATCCGATTTGACTGCCTTCTCCCGAAAAAGAAAAATCAACCATTGGCATATCAGGGTTTCAACATTTTGGCCAATTTGGACGCAAACTTGACGAATTTCAAATTCAAAAGGGCTTCCTGGTGTTTTTCTAGTTTTCCCCAAGCGTTCTCCGAGTACTAAAGAGAGACAGTAGAAAGGGCGGCTAATATGTACGTGTGGAATAGTTTAATTTTTCAGAAAAAGACTAATTTTTTTGTATTTTTTAATATATAAAACTGATTTGAAAGACGTGAGCACAACTAAGGACTGTTTGTCACGTTTTTAGGCCTAGGTTATCCTACCCTGTGAGTGCACTTTCGGAATAACTTTTTATTTTCTCGGTTTGGATCCCTCATCTCCTAAATGTATATGATAAATAAAAAAAGAATAGTTCTCATTTCAGTACACTGCACAAATATGTTAGGAGGTTTGAATAAAAATGAAAGATAATTTAAATAAAAACCATTTTTATTGCTTTGTTCATAATCTAGTGTTAGCGGTTTTCTTTCTGTCTACAAGTGTTGTGCGCTCTGAATTGCTGATTGCAGGAATGATTTTTATTTTTTTCATACATTTTATATAAATGTAATCGGCTTTATTATAGCTTTGTGTTTCAATGCTGTCATGTTTGAAGAAATACATCTACTTTTATGAATAAAACAGCCTGCGGGTTACTGTTGAAGGTAAGTAAGTCGGTGCAAATAATGATTACAGGCAGTCCCCGGGTTACAAACAAGATTGGGACTGTAGGTTTGTTCTTAAAGTGACATTAAAGTCAAAAAATGTTTCCCTCTCCCCAATGTTAATGTCAGCACTTACCTTAAATGATGTCGCTTATTCCGATCTTCTTTCCTGTCCTTTTTTCATCTGTCCCTCCAGCGCGTCTCCGATCCAGCGCTGACTCCTCTGTCCTTGCTGGCACTTCCTGTCCTACGGTGTCTGTGCAGGTGCATGCGTCCATAGACTTACCTTGCGTCTCTCCTCGTCTCCCGGCCGAAAATGTGAACTGTGCACGCCCCGAGAATTTTTACATTTTCGGACAGGAGCGCGCAGGGAAGACACAGGTAAGTATTGACCTCTTTTTGAAGCGTTTTTTTACACTTTTTGCATATATCCGCTGCTTGCTAGCAGTAGATATATGCAAAAACACCGGAGGGTTTAATAACCCTTTAAGCTGAATTTGTATGCAAGTTGGAACAGGTATATTTTTTTAAGTGCAACTCCAGCCAAAAAAAATGTTTTTTTTGATAGCATAGGGAAGCGTTAACCCCCTGTAAAGTTTGTTTTGCTGTGTGTGCCCCTGTTCAGAAAATTTCACCTCACTTTCTGTCCCTGTGACAATTGGATTTTGAAAATTTGGGGTTGCCGTGGAAATAAGGATTGGTGATAAAGCTTCAGTGGAGACACCTTTTTCCCCCATGATCACTCTTACAGGAGTGAATTTCCCTTCCTAGGGGTAGATTTCTTCTCACTTCCTGTTGTCTCAAGGACAGGAAGTGAGATTAAATCTTTCTAATGAGGATACAGACAGCAGTAAAAACCTCACAGTGACCCGGAAGAAGAGGCGGGCACCCCTCGTCTGCACGTCTAACAAGAGCCAACTTCCTGTAATGTACGTACAGTACTACGAACCAGATCCAAACAGGCGGACACTCCTCGTCAGCACGAGCGCGGTAGCATTACAACTACCCCTCCGTAGCCTCCGTTTGTAAGTAGGTATCGTATGTAACTAGGGGACTGCCTGTACTTTAATAGCCCAGAGACCCCACTGCACTGGTTAAATGTCCCAGGGCCACACACTTCTAGGACCTGCAGCCAAGTTTCTCCTAATGGTGCTAGACCTAGATAAGTCTATGGGGAACAATTTTACATCGCCAAAGCGGTTCAGCAGTACAGGAGAGGCCCCAAAAATGTCTCCCACTGGAACTCTATCAAAGAGCGAAGAGAAGAACCCCAGGTCTTTATGTTGGTCTATGTCCCTGTTGGAGTTCCATAGTACCACTTGGTGGTATGACACAAAGAAATAAGGAGACCTCTTTGTTAAGAACACAAACCTTATAGAAGGTCTAAACCTTCACCAATAAAAGTGCAATTGTTCCTGTTTTCTCCCATTTTTAAACAGATTCCCCTGACCTAGTGACGCAACAGGAAGTGAGGGAGAATTCTCCAAGAGGAACACTGGGAAGTAACGGAGATCTGCACAACAGGAACACAGACACTAAACATTTGACAAGTTCTACCCTTTCTCTGCTCTACCGAAAACAAACCAACATGTTTTAACTTAAGTTTTACTTTTTGGTTGCATTTCAAAGGACCGGTATGCCAAAAAGTTGCTTTGTGATTGAGTAACAAACCGCATTGATCACACATGTTTGACAGGAATTGAGATCACTGGAGTTGATATAGCTCTGTGTTGGCTCAGTTTATAGAGAAGGAAAATAGTCATGGGTGTTATGCTTTAGGAAATTACAATGTTAGGCCAAATTTGTGGACAGCTGACAGTCACACCCTTATGAACCCGTTGGACAAAACCATGTGTATTAATATAGCGTCGTCGTCGTCGTCGTCCCCCCACCCCCACTTTTGCAGCTAAGCGGCCTCCATTTTTTGGGGGAAGGCTTTCTACTAGTAGATACTGCTCGAAATATATATAATTTAAACAAGCTTGGGATAATCATGGGCCTAAACTCAGACAAAAGTAAACATATACTTGATGGCCACATGCTGTATGGAATTGGTGCCCAATAAAAGTGTTTTTGAGGTCAGGAACTGATGTTGGATGAGAAGACCTAGCTCCCAATCTGTGTTCCAGATCATTCCAAAGATGCTCAGTAGGGTTGAGGTCAGAGCTCTATGTAGGCCCTCGAGTTTCTCCGCACCAAACCCATCAGACTGTCTTTATGGAGCTGGCTTTGTACACATGGGTACAGTCATACTGGAACACAATTTGGCCTTCAACAAACTGTTACCACCAGTTTGAAGTACTCAATTATCTAAGTTGTCGTATGCTGCAGCAGCACCCTTACCCTTCCATAGAAATATCTGAACTTAATTTGAAGTGGTGGTCACATATTTTGACCATATATTAGGTGTGATGGTCAGTTGTCCTCAAACTTCTCGCCATATAATGTACTTGAGAGGAAATCATCTGTATTAAATCATTCCTCACTATACGAACAACAAACCACCTCCCTGGTATCTGAGCTGCAGTGATAACAATAAATCTTCCATAATGACTTCCTTCCATGTTGCCCCTGCTGCTATTCAGAAGCTGGGAAGGTTATATCAATGACATGAAACATTGATGCCATTTTGGAAAATCCAACTCCCATCAATCTCGCCATGAAATGTTTTTTTTTCATCTGGGTAGTTGGAACTTAGATTTCAGCTGTAATGTTTTTATTTGTCTTCAGCTGGGCTTTGCAGACCCATGGCAGGGAATGGGCTGGGGAAGAAACATTATAAAGTAGGTGGAATGCACAGAAAAACTGTTTATACTAATGTAGCCCCTATATAGATGAATATATGTGCTACTGTATAGATCGGTATTTCTGACTGCAAACAGTTAATTGCCTCTGTGTGTGAAGAGAGGTGAAGGTTTATGGGGATTGCAGTGCAGAGCAGATATGGATACACTGCTGAAAGGACCTTGAGGACTGCAACTCCCAGGATACTGTGCGAGAGTGAGGGGGATGGCTATGGACTGGGAGGGCTGAGCGCGCGCTGTCTGGGGCCGGGACCCAAAGTGTGCGGATCGATGTGAGACCTTGTGAGTTAGCACTGCCTGCAGCGGAGTGTGTGGTCGCCCTTGATAGACAGAGAGACCTAGGCTCTGTGTTGCCGTACTGGAGAGACAGTTGTTCGTCTGTGAGACGAAGTGACAGAGATCGGGTGCCTGAACGGAGACCTAGTGACGCGTCAGCGGTGGGGATATCGTGCCGATCCAGCCACTGGAGTGACTCGCCCAGCGGAGTGAGTGGAAACCGTTACCAGAGGCCTTAGATGACCCTGGACAAGTGGTGATGAGTTGCAAAAGACCCTAGATGACCTCACCTCCTTCCTAAGTGTCATTCCAGCGGAAGAGGGATGTCTACACTGCTACTGAAAGACATCATATTGTGCAGGACAACCCTGGGTGTGGTGAGAGGCCTATGGGCCATTGTGACACTGTACTTTTACACATCTGCGACTGCTACACAGTATGGACCCAACGTTGGCTAGCCTAGGACATTACTACTGGCCAGTAGTCTAGAGGGCTGTGGTGCTTCCAAGTGAGATATTGTTGTTGGATTTCTCTACTTTTATATTTACTCCTGAGACAGTCTGACTTCAGAGGACTCTGCATAGGCAATAGATAGCCGCAGTCACTGGATGTCAGAGTGCATTGATTTACCTCATATTGTTTAGTGTGTTATTGTTACATTATTAAGATATTATTTTGTGTTATTCAGCCAATAAATCCTTTACAAAAACTCTACAAAGGTGTGTTGGTGAGCTGTGGATCCACCAGTTGGGTGGTACATTGGTGCAGAGGGTACAGAAAGACCTGTTACATTAGCAGCTCCTACGGGGGTAGTGCTACACTAACAAAATGTGAGTTGCCATTATTGTGGTTGTCATTATTTTCAAGGTATAAGCTCCAATAAAAAGTTGGTTTAAGTATAACCTGGTGGGCTTAGCATCTGGCTCTTGTGTGTGTATCACTGGGCTGTAGAGCCTCAAATCTCTATACAAATTAGTAAACTAAACCTGAGATTGTAGTCCATCGCGGGAGTGAGCTTGGAGTGGTGACTACTTTACAACGCACACAGGGACCATGGGGAACAAAAGTAGCCCCCCTCCAGAAGGAAGGACAGTGTCAGCACCATTTCAGAGATGATTTGAGGATCTACAGCCGAGTGATACACAAATAAGGAGCCAGGTGCT